TTTGAGAAGGTCATGGAGTTCTGAAGTCAAAGCAGGAAGACAGCCTGGGTAGAGACTGAGATGGAACTAAACATTAGTGCATTGTAGGCAGTTGTCAATAGCTCAGATGAGGGCTCAGGGTAGTCATTTGACCTGGGGTAAAGATGTCATTTCAAGGCTCTTCTGCCATGTTGCATTCAGCAGGTAGTAGCATACACGCTCTGAAGCCTGGTGCCCCCTTACTCCTGGCTAAGACTGTATGTTTTCCTGTCCTGTGACATGGGGACTCTATCTCTTCTTTGCCAATGTACTTCACAAAGATCTTGCCTACTTCCACCTCTAGCCCCGACAGACATGATTGCTTCTCTGTGATTCCAGTTTGCTTGGAGAAGGCCTGCACTCCCTTGTCCTCTGGCTCTTGTAGCTGTCAGATAGGCAGAGACTGATGTCTGTTTCTACTGGACGGAGGAGAGGATTGGTTGTCTGAGTGACATCCTGTGAAATTGGTGGTGCCCTCTCATATCTTTCATATCATCAGTCCATCAGCTCCGTGCATCATCATGGCACAGAAGAGACGCTGACTCCTCTCTTCTGATTGTCCACCTGCACGGGGCTTCTCTTCTTATCAGCCCTTCTTCCCTTGTTGGTCCAGAGGCTTTTATGTCATTCTGGACTAGTCTCATGGTCCAGCTGAAGACTGACTGTCACTCATTCCCACATAATAATCACAAGATACAGTCTTTGAGACATAGTGTATTATCTGGTGTTTGGCTGCTCTTCTTGTTGCTCTGGCCAGATAGATGACAGAGACAACTTCAAAGGAGAAGTGGATCCGTTTAGAGGATTCCGTCCAGAGTGATTGAGGCATCACAGTGGGCCAGGAAGGAAAGGGCAATGCAGCTCAGCTTGCCACATTTTGCCTCCTTTGACCACATTCAGTCCTAGTCCTTCCAGATGTTCAGCCTATGGTATGGAACCACCCACATTCAGGGTGAGTCTTTCCCATAAGTTAATTATCTCTGGACACATCCTCATTGTCACACCCAGAGGTGTCTCGCCAATCTTTAGGGTGATTCTAAGTAGAGTCTAGTTGACAGTGGGGATTGATCATCACACTCAAGAACTTGTGGGAAATAGAGCTACCGGGGCTTACCTCCTGCTTAGGAGATTGTAAGACTGGAGCCCAGTGATCTTTTGCACTGTCCTGGGGAGTTGGGTGCTTGCTCAAGTTTGAGGACCATCAAGCAAACCAAGGTTGAAGCAGTCACTGTGCTTTCCATCTCAACTTCATAGGCTAATTTCCAAAAATCTGTCCTTAGAGATGCCTTTCAATATCACAGAAGAGCTGGGATGGTGATGCACACCTTTATTTCTAGCAGTAGGTAGGCTGATGTGGGAGTCTAGGAACTTTGAGCCCAAACTGGGCTCCATCATGAGACTCTGTTATAAGACAAAGAGGGAGTCTTTCTGCAAACTGAATTGACCCCAGAATTTTTTCATCTGTACAATGCTCCTGCCCCTGCCTCACTAGCTATCGGTGCCATTTACTTTTTTCTCTCACTCAGGATCAATTCCCATGAACTTGTGTGTTACCACCTAGAATTTTCATCCTTACATTTTCACTGTTTGTCTTGGAGAAAAGTCACAGCTGTACTTCAGAAAAGCCACTGGGGCAAGGGCTGTAGAATGATTTTGGACTTGAAAAGCTTCAGACCTGGGTGGGATTGAAGATCCGCTGCTGACTAGTTCCAGGAACTTAGGTTCTTACGAGGCGCTGACAAAGCCAGACATCCATAGTAGAATGCACATCGTATTTACCGTCAAAGGACTAGTGCAAGCTTAGGAACCTCCAAGCTTTTGCCCAGTGGCCTCAGTTTTTGCACCAATAAAATTGGGGGGTAGTGTTAAAAATAATAAACATAATAAATGACCTGCAGGCAGTATTGATTAAAATGATTTTTCTGCAAAAAGGAATCCGAGTAAACTCTAAGATACTCTAAAAGGTTACCTCTTTTTGTCTCAGAAGCCATGCTTGCAGAGTCTCTGTCCCCCTGCCTGGCCTGCAGCAAGCGATCCAGAAGCTTCAGTTCCCTTTCAGGCAAGCAGAGCCCTGGAGCACTAGAGCAATACTTAGTCCCGAAGGACCTTGTTCATCTGACAGATAAGAATGATTTGTAAACAGCAAGGCTTTGTTTTATGGGCCATCTTCCTTAGTATTGATTTGTTTATCAAAATTTTTATTTATAAGGAGCACAAAAATAAACCAGCACAAATTTCTGCAGGATGCACCACAGCTTCTGAATTAATGAGGTCCACATTTATGACTGCTCTGGGTTGTTACTTCCTTTACCACAATGGTGCTTGTTGCAAAAGAGGGGTCCTCATGCTCCTTTGGTTGGTAGCATACACCATTCATGCACCCCTCTTCCTCTTGAGAAAGACGATGTCTCCAGCTGCTAGCAACTGTCACATAGCTTGAGATTTTGGCAGAAGCCTTTCATCGGGGGCTGACAATGCCATGGAACTCTGAAATGTTTCCACAGTTTCCACCAAGTACTTCCCTTGTAGAAAGCTGAAGAACGAATGATGTAATGTGTTTCAGGGTCAGGGAAATCAGTGGCAGGATTCTCATGGTTTTGTTAGCCCTGACCCAGGGCCCTTGAGAAAATTTGCCAACTCTTGAATCCTGTCTCATGTCTGCTGAATCCATCTGTTTAAAGTGTTTCTAGTATTCTCATGCATACTCAGATTTGGGAACTGGGATAAGGAAGAAACTGAGGACAGATTTCACCTCCCAGGGGAAGAGTAGTGGAGCCCTCAATATAAATAGCATTTAAATGGTCACCCTCGCAAGGGGTCATCGACTTTTCCTGTTCACATAAATCTCTCATCTTGGGTTGTTGAGGCAGCAGTTCTCAACACTGGTCATTCTTTAGAAACCCAAAGGGCTTTGTTTAAAATAGTCCCGCTTCATTGACTGTGTCAGAAAGGCTGAAGTTTGTCTGTGCATCTGAGCAACTTAAACTTCCACGTGATTCCCAAGTTACCCTGTGTCGAAGGCTCTGGAACATGGCTTGCTAAGAAATATGAAGTTTGTCTTATTGACATAGGGTATTTTTTTCTAGGTATTTATTTTTGTGTTTGTATTAGAGAATTGTGTGTTCACTATAGAATAAACAACTTCCAAAATAATGACTAGTTGAAAAGAGAAATAATTAGCTCTCAGCTGACAAGATACGCGTGTGTTTTCTTTCAATCATTTCCTGCTTTTTAATGCACTTGCTTGAAGTTTTATTATGCTGCTGTCATATTTAATATCTCATTTTCAGAAACCTTTTAACTTTATATAGTACACGTTCAATGTGTAATCCACACTGTGGCGGTATGAATGCATAGCGACTTGCTTCCGTCCTTGTGTGTGTGCATTGAGGATGGTACCCGGAAGGCTTCGTGCTGTACAGTGTTTACAATGCTCAGGTTTCAAGCACATCATAGATTCTCATTTGAATGTCAGAAGGAGAATATTTACTCCTTTCTCTCTAAATTTCTTCTCCCACAGTCCTCAACCTGCCCTTGTCTTTTCCTTACCTCAATGCATATGTCTGTATTTTGCCTGTTAGGGGATACAGTTTTATTACAGGGAGTCAAGAAAGGAAAACATAAAGATCTTGCCAGTGTTTTATGGCCACCATTCCGCCTGCCAGCTCAGCTGTTGCTGGGTTGCTCTTAAGTTGCTAGTCTGTGGTCCCACAGGTTGTGCATGATTCATAGACACACACACACACACACACACACACACACACACAGAGAGAGAGAGAGAGAGAGAGAGAGAGAGAGAGAGAGAAGCTGCCATCAGGCCCATTCCTCCATGCTCTGGAAGGGATAAGACAAAGATACAAGGCAACAAAGACAAACAACCTAGTAGTTATAGAAAAGAATTTGGGAAATACAGAAATGTTAGAAGGAGGCATTGGGTAAACCCATGCTCCAATTTCTCCAAGGGAGCTGAGAGTATCTGTGCATCTTCTGTTTTTACAGTGTTTTTTTGTTGTTGTTGTTGAAGATTTTAATTTTGTTTATTTATCTTTATGTGTATGGATGTTTCGCTTGCATGTATGTTTATACACTACATGTGTGCAGTGGCCATAGAGGCCAGGAGAGGGTGTCGGACTCTCTGGATTACAAATGCTTGTTAATTGTGTGGGTGCAGACAAGTGCTCTTAACCACTGAACCATCCTTCCAGCCTCTATCTGTGTGTTTTCGCTCGACGTTGTAATATCTTTTTGCAGTGCACTGACTTTAATTTTTACAGCCCTATTATTGTGTTTAATGTATTGTTTCCTCGAAACCTGTGAAGTTTAATAAAGGATGGTGGGGCAAGTACAGAGGTCCTCCATTGGTTCATGGTCTGACTTGATGGACTTTGTGATAGTGCACAGTCAGTAGCCATACTTTTTACATTTGGAATTTTCATCTCTTGTTGGGCTTCCAAGATGCAGTATGGTATTCTCTAGTGATGCTGGGTAGTGTCCATGAGCAATAGCAGCCTGGCAGCTGTGGTCACAGCAGAAACAGCTGATACTCTGTTGTGCTGTGTTGCCAAGCTACAGTGTTTTGCATTTTCAACTTTAGATGCTTCAACTTGCCATGGGTTGATTCAGGGTGCAACCCCACTGTAAGTTGAGGACCATCTATAAAGTAACATTCTAGTGTACTTTGTGGTCACTCAGAAATGTCACAATCAAATCACGTGTCTCCCTTTCTTCTTCTACTTTCAATGTGGCATTAGTCTTTGTCATAGCAATATATAGACACATAAGATGTGTATGTATAATGTATGTGCACATATGTCTATATATACAGCAATATATTCTTAGTAATATATATATGTGTGTATATATTATATTTATTATAATATATATTTGACCTTATGGCTTAGCTGCTGGGCAAGATGGAGCTGTGATTGTTTTCTGTGTTGCTGTCATGGCTGTGTCAGGTAATTCTGCCCATCTTCTTGCAGGGCATTATGGGAAGGATGCTTACCGAAGTGGAGGACCAGATCTCCATAACTTCATCTCATCTGGATTTGTCACATTAGGAAGAGGACACACGAAGGGTACAGTGGAAACAATTTTTTACTAAAATACAGAGGTTGCCTAGGGAACCCCAGTCTGAAGTGTGAAGATGGTGTGGAGTACCGAGGCTTACTAGAATCAGGAATATGTGGGGTTATTCCATGGCAGCATGTCCTGGGCACAGAGATGACCAGGCAGTCATATTTATGACTTTAGATGGTAACAGACCTCCAAGAGACACCCATCCCACTCTGTACATGATGGGGACACAAGTGCTGGTGGCTCCCCATGAGAGGGGACCACAGGCATCATGGTGGGAAATGCTACCAATGGATGTAGTACTTGTAAAATGTGTGTTTGTCTCTGGGCTGTTATTCCCTTATCCCCCTTTCCCTTGCAAAACCCCTATCTTATACCCAATGTCAATGTTCTGTACTGTGAGTTTCTAAGCCAGCGTGTATGTGGACAGTTCAGGCATCCTCGGTGTGTCTCTGTAAACCTCTGTGATGCGGGCACAAAGGTAGAGGGTGTTCAGACCTTCAAGCTGCAAGATGAAAGCTAAGGTAGCATTTCTGCCAAGCTGCTTTACAACCTAGCTGGCAGCTTGCAGAGCATCTGCGCAGGGGTATGAAATCCTCCCCGATTCTGTCTTTTGTTTAAATAGTCCTACTAGTGTTGTGAGCCTTCTGTCTCTGGATCCCTGACTCCTTAGATTACCTTCCCAACACCTGTGTGCTGTTACAGACTAAATGTGAACCCTGTGGTTGAGATGTTCCATTTCTGTCTTGCTCTGAAATCTGTGTCTGTTTCAAGTGTGAGTGAACAAGGTATTTGCATTATTTTTTTCCGTTCAATGCTCCTACTTTTGAAATTCCCTGTCATGTGTGTTTATCCTATAGAGAAAAAGATAACTGTATCTGTGTATGTATTTTCTGTTGTCTCTTTGTGTCTAAATAAAGTTTATTGAGGATACAGGTGGCATTTGTGGCTATTAAGAGTTGCAGAATCAAAATGAAGGCTGCTGTTACAGATGGGGGAATGGGCTTCACAGTTCAACACATAAAAGAACAATCATAGAGACACTTGTATCAACGCAAACCTGGAGTTACCAACCCCTACATATCCACTTAGTGGTCAATACCTATTTCCGTGAATCAGAAGGCTTTCAACTCAACACTTTAAAGTAAAATAAACATTTATTATGAAGCATGGTTTCTGTGAGTTGGGGATTTCCGAGGTCCTGAATTAGAAGAGTCTCTTGTGAGTTTTCAGCTACCAAGTTAGGCAGGACTCGGTCATGTAAAGTACTGACTGGCACTGGCAAATAAAATTCCAAGACATCATACTTACATGGTGCTATATTGGCAGGAGGCCTCCATCCCTCCCATCACACTGTCTCTGTGGTCTGCTTGAGTGATGTGTTGACTGGATATCCCGACAGTGGTTGATTCACAGGAGAAAAAAAGACATAAGCCCCAGTGTCTTTTATGACCAAATGTATTGGTTAAACACACCACCATTTTCATAAGGTCTTAGAGTGTATAAATGTCAGTTCTCTTCAGGATAGGAGATGACTATCCAGAAACAAGAATTATCAGGAGGGTCAGGAAATTTGGAGACCATTGTAAAGGCTGGCTTTCTATTACACAAACCTCAAGGAGTGGAGCTATGACTATGATTTTTATACAGAATCCAATAACTTACCAAGACTTCTCAACTGTGTGGTTTTTCCACCCTTACCACAACCCTTTGAAAGTGGTTCAAGCCATAATAGCAAGTAGTGAACTCTGTTGAATAGGAGGCAAATAGGAGGCAAAATACAATGCACCCTTAGGTTCTTCTCTTTGCACTGGGGAAGCAAATCCAGTCTTCACAGTAAATAGGAGAAGCGCAACAGAGACGAGTCTGGAGAGTACTGTAGGAGGAAGTTACTCCTGCCAGGGATGGGTGCTGAGGTAAGGTGAACAGAGACCTGTCCCCCAGGCAGGTGAAAATAGGTCAGAAGAGCTACAAGGCTGCAGAAGGTACTGGGGTGGCTCCCGGTTCTCTGGGAGATGGAAACTTAGGGAGAATGTCAGAGGTTTTGCCCCATAAAGATACTTCTAGATCTCACTGGGAGTTCCTGAGTAGATCTTTTTCTCTCAATAACACTTGCTGGAGAAGGGGCTGGTTATGATCAATACTGATGCCCAGCAAGACACATCATGGGGTCTATGGCAGGAAACAAAAGAAGGAAGCAAGTGCTAAGAACTCCGATGGGGTTTTCAGCTGTGGAACCCATAGCCCTGATGCTCAGCCAGTAATCTTAGAAAGAAAGAAAGTGACAGTGTGCCTTTTTGGCAGTTTAAGTCCCAGATCTGAGCAAGAGCCGTGGTAGGGCTATGGAAATTCTAGAGATTGTACAAGTAATACCTGATTTATCTCTGACTCCCTGAGAAGGGAATAAAGCCAGGATATGGCTTTAAAATTCATGAAATGCATAGATTTTAGCCAGGGATGATTCTGGACAAATGACGTAACAAGAAGAGTAAAGGAGACTAGATGGTCAATGAGATGGGAAGGGGATTTTGTGGTACAGGAGGGACATTTGGAAAGGGAATAAAGGCAGCCTAATGGGAAACAGTTCCCCTGAAGCCAGCATTTGCTGTGTCTCTTTTAGGGGAGGGAAGGATACAGAGAGGCATGCTGTTTTCCATCCATATCTATCCATAGCTTTGGATGATGACCAGGGCCACAAAACTACTGTGCTCTTGGGTGACTGGAAGGAGGAGAGAAGTTAAGGCTGCTTCCAGAGATCCCCTTCCACACACAGTCACCGCATCAACTGAGCATACACCACTTAGCACTCCTTCCTGTGTGTGAGCTCTCTGTTGTCTTCTTGCTACCCTTCGCCAGGCCCACCTCCTGGTTTGACCCCACACCACTCTGTGGCCAGGCTGACGTGCTTCCCCTGTGCAGTGGTCTAATGCTAGGGAGGTTCTGTTTTCTGTAAGGATTGAAATCAGATGTTCTTGTCTATAAACAATGGGATGTGCATGCGTGGGCCTCCAGGGTACCCTAGACTGCCATTCACCAATTAGAATTTGAGCAGCAGCCCTCCGATCACCAATCGACTGTGGTAAAAAGATTCCTGAGCCATCTGACGGAAAGAATCCAGCGTAGATACTTTCACAGTCTCAGAAGCCAGGGGAGTGAGTGGGTTGAACTGTGCTAAGGTATTTGAAGGCTGGACTCCAGATAAAGCACAAAGCTCAGAAGGCATCCCAGTCTCCATGGCAACAGTGAGGCAGGATGAACATCAAGAAAGAGAGAAGGCTCAACGAGCTTGCCTGAAAGTGGCCTGTATGAAGCTGATACTACCTAGGAATACTCTATACTGTACCTTTCTATGAAGGAGGGGTGTATGGGCCCATAGGAGCAGAGCAGGGGGATCTCTTGTATTCACAGCCCAAAGCACCATGACTCTAAGGCACTTCTTGCTGTCTTATCTGTACACATGGGGCAACTTCCTTCTATAGTCCAGCCTTACTCACTGTTGAGCAATGACAGAATACCAAGAATCAGTCATTGGTTTGGAGTGTCCAGATCTATTCCAGTCTATTTCACATGGTCCTAGACTACACACAGGGTCATCCCTAAGTCCCGTGGTTAGGAAAGTGCATGCCAACCATCTGTTTTATAATCTTTGAGTCAACCTCACATGATATCTACTTGTTAAAGTTGATGTATTACAATCAAGGATGGACTGGAGCTAATTGAGAATTCTGTGTGCCAGCGAATCCCATCTTTTGACATCCTACATACCTGCTTTTCAAATAAACTCCAAATATTTCAGATGAACAAAACCCACCACAATATCTTTGAAAGTCTCTGTTGGGATCTTCTGTTTTCAAGTTCTTCCATTTTTCTGAACAGTGATCATCCTGCAGAGCTCTCCATGTGGTCCACAGACCACTATTGACAAGAACACTACTACCCTCTAGGAACCTTAAAGGGTACTGTCCCTCACCTCCGTCTGGTACAGAACTCTGTCCCTACCTAGAGTCGTACCAACAACAATTCAACCATGGAAAACAATATGAGGGTTACAACATCCTACATGCATTTCCTGAACCACCCAAAGTCTACCTGTGGGCTAGCACAAACCTGTTTGTTTTCATTGCACCTACATGAGGAAACAAGTTACTTTCCATTGAAGAAGTCAGGCTAAAAGCTGGCCAAAGAAATGGATGTTGTTCCTCTTGGGCTCAAGTCATTCTGAGAAAGGATTGGGTTGAAATGGCACACTGCTTGATATATTCATGTGACATCTAAGCTGAAATCTGTCACTCCTTGCCTTGATCAATGGTGTTGTTGAAACTTAATCTACATTCTGAGTCCTGGGACACACATGTCCCTGGGTAATGCTTACTTGTAGACCCACCATCATTGGCCTATGTAACTAATTATTCCAGGCTTGTAGAATATTCTGCTGGAAAGAAGAGGTAGTGGAAGACAAAGGCTTGGCATCAGGGTGTGCGGCAAAGGTTCCCTGCTTTAGGAAATGCTAATTCATCCCTCTCAATACAGATGTCCTCTTTAAAAGCAGAAAACTTGGGTACCACTCGATTCCCCATGTTCTCTAGTAGTAGGGCATGAGAGAAGGCTATGGCAACTTTGGAGTGATGAGTTCATTCCTTATTCTGCAATATCTACCATTCTAACTGCTTCCTAACAGGCAGAAGGGAGGCTTACACAAAACCTGTTACAACTTTGAATGCAGTGCTGTTCTCAGAGCCTCTTTGGGAGAGAGGAGACCACTAGGTTCTTCTGGAGGTTGGCGTACCCAACCAGTCAGGCTGCTAGCCTTCTGTTTTCTGATTCCTTGCTAGTACTATGCCTATACTTTTATTTTCCATGAGCCTAAGTTTGGAGTAAGTTTGTGACCAGTGTCCTATCTTCCTAGCACTGATCTTAGTGCTGCTGACTGGTCATCTAAGTTGGAAATCTCCCTGCCCATGAGCCACTCTTGGAATTAGCCTCCCCTTTTTCTCTGCCATGT